ATACTGGTCCATACTGGTTTATACTGGTCCATACTGGTTTATACTGGTCCATACCGGTTTATACTGGTCCATACTGGTTTATACTGGTCCCAGCAGGGGGCGCCGCCCGCCCAGGTTCTCTCCCTGAGCGCCGCAGTCCTGGCGGCCAATCCCGACGTGGGCACCTGCTGGAACCTGCGGAGACGCGCACTGGGAGCACTGGGAGGGGACTGGTGCGTACTGGTTTGTACTGGTTTGTACTGGTTTATACTGGTTTATACTGGTTTGGACTGGGAGGAGCTGGGAGGGCACTGGTTTGGACTGGGAGGGCGCTGGGAGGGGTCTGGAGAGGGTAAGAAAGGGTTAAAAGGGAGTTTGGGGTTACTGGTCTATACTGGTTTATACTGGTTTATACTGGGAGGGCACTGGGAAGGGTTAAAGGCGGGCTGGGAGAGCTCTTACTGGTCTATACTGGTTTATACTGGTTTATACTGGTTTTTACCGTTTTTTTCTATTTTTTCCTGCTTTTTACCGCTCATACTGGTCCATACTGGTCCATACTGGTCCATACTGGTTCATACTGGTCCATACTGGTCCATACTGGTTTGTACTGGTTTTTACCCTTTTTTTGTTCTTTTTTCTGCTTTTTCCCACCCATACTGGTTCATACTGGTTTATACTGGTCCATACTGGTCTATAATAATTTCTACCAGTTTGCCTCACACTTTTCTTACTGGTTTTTACTGGTTTTTACTGCTTTTTACTGGTTTTTACCTTTTTTTCCTACTTTTTCCCACCCACACCGGTCCATACTGGTCCATACTGGTCCATACTGGTCCATACTGGTTTCTACTGGTTTCTACTGGTTTCTACTGTTTTTTACCATTTTTTACTGGTTTTTACTGCTTTTTACCACTCACACTGGTCCATACTGGTTTATACTGGTTTTTAACTCTCTCTACCACTATGATTTATACTGGTTTTTACTGGTTTTTCCTGCTCTTTACCACTCACACCAGTCCATACTGGTCCATTCTGGTTTATACTGGTCCATACTGGTCCATACTGGTCCATACTGGTTCATACTGGTCCATACTGGTTCATACTCGTTTATAACACTCTCTACCACTATGATTTACACTGGTTAATACTGGTTTATACTGGTTTATACTGGTTTATACTGGTTTATAACTCTCTCTACCAGTATGATTTACCCTGGTTTATACTGGTTTTTACTGGTTTATACTGGTTTTTACTGGTTTATACTGGTTTTTACCATTTTTTACTGTTTTTTACTGCTTTTTCCCACCCATACTGGTTTATACTGGTTTATACTGGTTCATACTGGTTTATACTGGTTCATACTGGTTTATACTGGTTTATAACTCTCTCTACCAGTATGATTTACCCTGGTTTATACTGGTTTTTACTGGTTTATACTGGTTTTTAC